CCTTCCCATATCCCACCCCCTTGTCCCACACTCTGGAATCATAGACTCCATGGTGGGATAGAGAAGAATAGGAAAGAGACAAAATTAGGGCTATTACCAGAGATCCTCATGCCCAGTTGTCTTTAAACAACAGCAGGAAGAGGGCTTTCTCCATAAAGCTGTTGTAGGTTGCTTCCAGGACTTGGAACATTCAAGTAGTTCTAGAAATGAGACAGAATGAGAGGAGGAGGCAAGGTACCAAGTAGGGGAGGCTGTGTGGTTAGGGCAGAGATGTCTTGTTACTTGAAAGAACATTCTCATTTGCAAAACACCTTCCCTTTTAGTTCCATACTAGAATTGCCAATTGCACATGGTAGTGGTTTATTGAACCATCTTCCCTTTTAGAGTCTCAGGCCATAGGATCATTCTCACCTCTATGGAATGCCCTCTACCTTTTCTTCACCTATCTCAGTCCTACCCATCCTTCAGGGTTCAGTTCAAATCCTACATAGTCAGGGAGGCCTTCCCTGATAATCCTTTTCTCTGAATTTCTCTAAGCATTACTATCTGTCATTAGGTACTTACCCTACATGACCATGTGGTCTTTGTAAGGTCTTATATTTGACTTACAGTATAGGACCCTACTTTGCATCTCAGAGGTGAAAGAGACCTTGAAAGCCAACTAGTCCAACTGACAACCTGAACAGGAATCCCTTCTACAATATCCTAGACAAGTGGTCATCCAAACTAGACTTGAAGCCTTCTCCTAACGAGTACCTCTCTAACCGGATCATTCTAGAATGGCAGACCATTCCATTTTGAGTTGACTTTCATTGTTAAAAAGCTTTTCCTTATATGGAACCAAAGTTTGTTTCTCTGAAATTTCCACCATTTGGTCTGAGTTCTGTACCTTGGAGTCAAAGAAAACAAATCTAAACCCTCTTTCACATGGTATCCCTTGAAATATTTAAAGCTAGCTACCATGTCCTACTCTCTCCAGGATAGATACTCTTTGTTCCTCCAGCCAATGCTCACATCTCTCATACCCATCTCCCTCTCTCCAGGCCCTCCCCACCTCTTGCTTCCTAACTGCTCTCCTTGCCTCTACTCTGTCCCCTCCCTAATCCTTCACACAGCTATCACCACAGCCACTGTGCTATTTCCGGAGCACAGATCTGCTGCGTTACTCTCCTGCTCAAGAAACTCTTGTGGCTCCCTCTTCTAGGATTAAAATACAGACTCCTGTGTTGGACTTGTAACACCTCACAGTCTGGCTCCCACCTACCTTAAAATAGTTATTTTTATTCTGGATTTTATTCTAGGCACTATTCTTACAGTTCCATTGTACTCATGAATTCATTCTGTTGTGTACCATTCTATATTATATATGTGTCCTTTTAAAACCTAATTTAAAAAACAACTGAATAGTCTGAGTAACTAAGCTTGACTCTGGAGAAGAGTTGAGAAAATAGACTTCCCTCCATTCTTTGCAGAGGTAGAGAACCATGGGTATGGAAGACTGCATATGTTGTGAGACCTAGTTGATGTGTTGGTTGGTTTTTCTGAACTGCTTTTTAAAATGGCTCTTTGGGTGCAGGAAGGGAAGGGATAAAAGGAGCACTTCCATACACAAAGTAGAACAGGTAATGAGGGTAGTACATGAAACGGAATCTCTGTTATGTAGTTTGCTTTTCTGTGTAAATAATAGATGGAGCTGTCTTGATCATGTGTTTTCTTTTGAATTTTCTGTTTGCTTCTGTGAATTTTTAAAAAATGCTTCAATAACCTTATATCCATTCTTTCCCTTTCTTCCCTCCCTCCTTCCCTTCCTCTTCCCCCCTCCTCCTTTCTTTCTTTATCCTTTCCTTCCTTTCTTTTTTTCCTTCCTTTCTTCATTGACCATATGATTGCTAGCACTCCTCCATTGGAGGAAAAAAAAAAAAGGAAAAATAAAACGGAACAAATCCACACATTGGTCATGTTCAGAAATATATCTCATTCTTCATCTTGAATCCATCACTTCTTTGTCAGGAAGTGACTTTTGGAGTCTGACATTTCATTCCTCAAATTTCTTAAGTCTTTTTTTTTTCTTAAGTCTTAGAATTATTTTTCTCTGAAGTATTGTTGTTATTAAATAGTTCTAGTTATGCTCACTTCACTTTGAATCAGTTCATACAAGTATTCCCAGGTTTCCCTTTCATAATTTCTTACTGCACAATAATATTCTTATTATATTCCCATGCCATAATTTGTTTAGCTGTCTGCCAGTTGATGGGCACCCCTCAATTTCTCAGTTCTTTGTGATAACAAATAGAACTGGTATAAATATTTTTGTATTTTTTTTCCCCTCTTTTTTATTTCTTTGGAATATAGACCGGTAGCAGTATTGCTGCATCAAAAAATATGGCATTGGGTGACTTTGGGGATGTAGTTCTCAATTGCTTTCCAAAGAGGTCGAACATACCTTTGGAGGCTGTATTGTGAGTTACTCCCTTTCATACATTCTGTACTACAGTCAAGTTGGCTGACTTGCTGTTTCATGCATATGACATTTCATCCCCCAAGCCTCAGGCCTGACATGTCCTTTCTTCTCACTGCTACCCCACAATATCCCTAGCTTCCTTTAAAGTTAAGCTTATTTGATAGCTCTGACAGGAATCCCATCTTGGTGTGCCTCTCACTCTCTACCATCAGTCGCTACTGCCCTCCCCCTTAGAAATTGTTCCTTATCTACTTCATATATATTTATTTTTCTGAGTATATGTTGTTCCTCCCCCCCCAACAGAATATTTTTGAGGACAGGGACTATTTGTTTTTGCCTTTGTGTTCCCAGAATTGGCACAGTACCTGACATATAGTAGGTGCTTAATAAATGCTTATTTTTAAAAATTATTATCTTTTGTTTTTATGTTTTATTGCCAAATATATCCCTTTGCACACCCCTTGTTAAAAAAAGAAAAAAAATCAATTGAGCAAAATTAACCAATAGATCAGTTGAGTTTGATAGTATATATACTACATAGAGCCCATTGACCTCTGCATCATCCTGCCATTCTTCCTCTTGCCATGCTCCACCTTGTCAATGTCCTTCTTAAAATATAGAGTCCAGGGGCAGCTAAGTGGTGCAGTAGATAGAGCATCGGCCCTGGATTCAGGAGGATCTGAGTTCAAATCCGGCCTCAGACACATAACACTTACTAGCTGTGTGACCCTGGGCAAGTCACTTAACCCCATTGCCCAACCCCCCCCCAAAACAAACAAACAAATATATAGAGTCCAGAAGGAAAAACAATTCTTGTCAGTGAGATTCTAAGTACCTTGAAGTTAAGGGTTTGCCTTTACTTCTCCCCCTTAATGGTAGGCATGCCATTAATATTTATTGTTTGAATCTATTCTGCCTGTAATATAAAATCAATCTGAGATCCCTTCTAACTCTGCAGTTCTCCAACTCTCTTATCTTTTGTGACAGAGGCTATATGAGTAGAGCTCCAGTGAGGGATGCTTGTCACTAAGTGAGAAAGACTTTGAGAAAGCAGAACTGGAAATGTTTTTTTGAGAATGGGCTTGGGAGAGGGGAAAGATTTAAAGAGGAAGGTATGTGCATGTGTGTGTCAGGGCTGCTCACTCCAGAAAGTCCCTCTTTCGTGGATAACTGTTTCTTTTGCAGATGACATTGGTTGCAGTGATCTTTTTGATCCTTTAAACGGCCCAGAATTTAACTTTCACCCAAATGAAGTTTAGATAGGTCCATAGCAGAGAGGTAGCAGGGGCAAAGAAGGAGGTAGGGAAGAGAAGGGCTGAGTCATTTCAGCCAAGCTTCATTTGCCAGAAGGATCCAGTCTCAAGTTACCAATCCTTGGTTGTGAGGAGAGGGAGGTCCTGATGGTGTTGGCACCAAGTTAGGACGCACATGGATGTCTGGGAGAGGAGGGACTACAAAGCCTTAGTTTGGAGACATCATTTGCTCAGGGATCAGAACACCACTCACTGGGTCGTAGCAAAGCCGAAATGTCGGCTTTGTGCCCAATCAAATATGTTTGCTTTACTCTATAGCCTCATGTTATGTCATAACTTACAAAGTGTATGTCTCATTCCCAAGAGACTCCTGGCAAAGAGTATCTTTTTATGGTTTAAGTAGAAAGAACATCAAGCTTAAAATTGGAGAGCCTGGGTTAAAATTCCAGCACTTCCTTTCATTCCAGTGTGATTTTTGACAAGTAATTTCATTTCAATGAGCCTTATTTACATTGTCTATACAATGAAAAGGTCCAGGGGTTTTTCCTGCTCTAAACCTATGGTGCTATAAGAATAGGGACAATGCTGTTCAAAACCAACAGTGAATTGAGAATGTCGTTTTTGCTTGGAAAGGACATTTTTATGTGGATTATTTTAAATTAGGGCTTTCTTTCTCTTTAAAATGATGAATAAATAAAGACATGATTGGAAGTAGGATCAATATATAGATATAGATGTATAGTTGTATACAGTTATACAGATACACATATATGTACATAGTTATATATCTGTATATATTTATATATGTAGTGACCATGGCCAGAAGTGGAAGATCCTTTCATTATGTAGTTCAAACAACAGTAGCCAAAACTAAATTTCATTTTTAAAAACGCTTAACTTTGACCTTTTTCTAAGTGGAGAGATGGGAGAGGGGACAGGAAAGGAAGAGACAACTCTTCTGGGTGGTCGCTGTTATTCCCATTTTACAGATAAGGACACAGAGGCAGACAGAGGTTAAGTGTTCTGCTGGCATGCCCAGAGTCACACAGCTAGAAAGTGGCCTATAGAACAGTTGGGGGCGGGGCGGGGTCTCACTGCGCTCACTATGAAGACCCTGGGTTGGGAGCACAGGTTTTCGTGGTTGTGTGAGGACGCGCCTGGCCCCCCTGGGGGAGGGGTCGGGTCGGGGTTGAGGTAGGGGTGGGGGAGGCGGCTCCAATCTGCCCGCCAAGCCGCGTGGGGGCCCAGCGGGGCTGTGAGACTGTCCTGTTGTGTTTCCCCCACAGGGGAAAGTGGAAGTGGAAGCTGGGAAAGAAGGGATGAAGTTTGAAGCGAGCGCTTTTTCCTACTACGGCGTGATGGCGCTCACGGCAGCTCCAGGTAGGTGCGGGCAGCAGCCGCAGCCTCCCCCACCCCGTAGCGTCCGCTCCGGGCTCTGCTCCGCCGGCTCCGGGCTCTGCCCGCTCCGCAGCAGCCCTGGCCAGCGGAGCCACCTCCAGTGCGTTCGCTGTCCTAGAGGTGGTGCTAGGGCGCCACCGTGCGGACCTTGGCCAGAACTTCGCGCTCGGGAGACCAGCGTGTGTGACCTGGGCGATCTCCGGGGGCGCTCTGCTGGGGGGCCCTGCAGCCCGGGCGCCCTGCAGCCCTCTTCCTCCAGACTGGTTTCTGTGCTCTTGGAGAGAGCCTATCCCAACCACCCAGCCTTAGGACAGCTCCTCCTGCAACGGCTCTGGCCCAGAGCGAAAAGCGATGAAATCCGCGTGGGGGAACGAGCAGTCTTGCACCCGGCTGGGTCATGGGAAGGGAGGCAGGTGCAGGGAAATCCCGTTGTCCCTCAGCGCCTCGCTGCTTGTCCCAGGTTCGGAGAATGTTTCAAGGAATGTTAGAAGTCATTTTAATCCAGCCCTTCCAGCACACAAGACAAAGCCACCTAAGGGCCAAAACTTGCCCAAGGTCACGTGAGTTAATGACCGGACCAGCCGGCTCTAGAACCCAGGTGTGTGGGGCCTTTCTGGGGTCCCATGATGCTTTCCACTCTCATAGTCTCCTTTACAGGCAGGCCTAGGGTTTTAAATGTCAAGGGTCAATTGCAAATACATCACTTAGAACATGAATTTCAAAATAACCATCCCTTAATTTTTTTTAATCAGATGCAACTTCTGTCTGAGATTCTCATTCCAATGACTGATAAACATAAATAGATAATAAATATTCCACAAGACCTATCCAAAGTGCATTGGGAAAGGATGGTTCCCATCACTGGGACCACTGTAAAAGGCCTTTTTCAGTTACTCAGTGCTGATGCCACTGGCCAGCTGGCCAAGTTATCTTTCCATATGAATGCTTTAGTTTTTAACAAAAGGAAAATGCAAATAGATCGTAACATTTGTTTGTTTATTTAGGATTTATAACCTGCCTCCTTCTGAAAAGGATTTGAAGTGGTGGTAGGTCTGATCATTTATAATTGGACCAATTAAAAATGGAAATGAAGACAGCAGCAGCAAAGTGCTTGCTGAAGACAGTGATACTGCCAAGTTTGTGGGTCAAATGCTTGTTTTTTTCTTTCTTGAGTTGAACATGTCCCCAGTCCCAGTTTGGCACTTGTTCACTTTATGGTCTTTTGTTGGCTGGACTAACTGTTACCCTCTTGCACTGCCATGTGTGTTTGTAAGTCCTTCAGAACAGCATGTTTTGAAATGTAAACTGGAATTGGGTCTTGAATAGCTTAAGAGATTTCTGGGTTAGTGAAGAGGAAAAGGAATGCTTTTTTCTCCTCTTCCTTCTCCTCTTTGAAAGCAGCGTGTGTGTTTCTTCTTTATTATAGAAACTATAGTCCTTTGTGTTTCTGGAGATTATTAATGCTTCTGAATTCCTAGAGAGCAGGAACCAGCTTTTCTCCCCTAACAGTATAAATTTCCTTCCTCAACTTTTGACAGAATCTCACCCTTGTTCTCTCCCTTTTTCAGTTCCTTTGTCCCTGTCTCGTACCTTTGTTGTCAACAGAACAGAACTGTTAGCAGCAGGTTCTCCAGGTAATTCTGCATGCTTCTTTTCGTTAATGCCCTTGATGGGTCCCCCGCCTTTCCTGGCCCTGCTTCCGCCTTGCCTGATGTTGTGACAGTGCAGAGAGCTCTCTAGGAAAGGCCCCAGCTAGCCAGGGAGGGAGCAGCGCACCCACAGGCAAACACACAGGCTGGGCTTGGGCAGAGGAGAGGGGAGGGAATTTCTGCAAAGGAGTATGACATGAAAGGGAATGAAAAGCCTTTTGAAAATTTGTTCGATCTGAATGGATGCCCTAGCTTATTCTGTTTCCCAGAGCAGCAGTGAGGGGCAGATCCAGCCCTGACTCTGGGAAGGGCATGGATGGCATATGGGGAATGTGCAGGAACCTGAAGGTCCACCAGACCCAAGAAATGTGGAAACCTTAAAGTGCTACAGAAATGTGAGCTCTTATTGTTACATTGCACTGACTTGGTAAAAGCAAACTCAAACTTGAGGAAACAAGGTGCTTCTGTGCTGAGAGAGCAGTATCCTATAGACTGTACGTGAGTCATGATGACTGTTTTCTCTGCCCTTTTTTCTGGCATTCAGAAGAAAAGGATGAACATGTTTCCTAGCATCAGTGCTCTGTCTGCTGGCCAGGTGCCCCTCACGTCCCTTCGGCTCTCCAACTTTGTTCTGAAATTAGCATTGGGCACATTCCTAACAAAGGGCTGATTAGGGGCCTGCAGGGGAGACTGGTCATGCCCCAGCTAAAGAAAAGAAAAGAAAAGACTTAATCTTTCTTTAATTAAAATGACATGGCTTTCCTTTAAATTCTAGAATTTTAGAGCTGGCAAAAATATTAACTTATACTTATTTCTTATGCTCCACTTGTTCCTTGTCCAGTAAGATGCTTAATATTGATGGGGAGGGGGGGCAAAATTAAACACTCCGGCCCTAGAAGTTCATGTATTTATAAAGCCTTTGTTGCTAGAGTTTGGTATATTTGGGAGCATGGCAATTTGATCCACGGCCTCTTTGAATCCATATGCTAGAGAAAGACTACTGACTCTTGTTTTGCTTAGCTCTTTTTAACTTGAAAAGGTAAAAATAGTAATATAGTGAAGACAGGTAGCATGTCTGCCATTTCCAGGCCATCATTGCACATCATGTTTTGGTCATGGTCCCCATGCAGGCAGCTTCTGCCCTTTCCCTTAGCCAAGTTTAGAAGCAGGCACTACTATTTCCCCACAGGGTCGTAGAAAGAATATGCTGTTTGGAATTTGATATTTTAATGACCTTGGAGTTTTCTTAACTTTGTTCTCTCAAGTTGCAATGCAACACTTTGGCCTCTTGGTCTCCCAGATCATTTTCCCAACAATAGTAATAGTTCTGGGTTACAAAGACCTCAGTAATGCTTAATGCTTACAAGTGTTGTGTGTATAGTGCCTAAGAATTCTCTAAAGGAGTCTTCCCTTTTTTACACAAAGATATCTAGTTGGTTGGTTTTTAAAATGAGTTAGCAATCTGAGCACCTTCTTGAGTTGAATATATTGGCCATGGATTTAAAAGCTGAATTGAATGTATTGTATATTTATTCCACAAACATTTATTAAGTGCCTACTGTACAGAACACTGAAATGCAATTTTTAGGCATTAAGAAAGAATTTCTTTTGAAACACCCATCTTGTATAAAACCAAGTGCAAGGACTCTGAGCTAAGCCCCTAGAGTACTCTTTGATGGACACTAAATTGCTCTTGAAGGCAACTGAATTTCCTTAGGAAATTCAGCCTACAAGTTTTCTAGGAATTGGGAAAGACTAAAAGATGATACCATGTTTTTAACATTGACTACAAGCTGGTCTTTCTGATAGAAGAGAAGGTAAAAGGGCTTAGGGCAAGACCTCTTGTTCTTTAGATGATTAGAGAGGATGGAGACTTCATAGATGGTATGAAATCGATGATTCAAGAGGGGAAGATCCTCAGGAAGCAGGGGGAATAAACAAAGTCAAGAGACGGGTGAATAAATGAATATGACACAGAGGAGAAAGAAAAAGAAACTCTGTATTGCTCGGACTACAAAACAGATATCGGATACTTTCCATAAAAATTAAATCTAGACTACTTATCAGAGCAGCATAATCCCATTCTAGAATGCTATGGAGAACCAGCCTGACAGAAAATGGTAACAACAATAGAGGAAGTGCCCAGATATTCAAAGGGAAAAATAACAGAGAAGAAAAGAATTGTATTTTTTAAATTAATTAATTAATTAATTTTTAGTTTTCAACATTCACTTCCATAAGATTTTGAGTTCCAAATTTTCTCCCCCTTCCTCCTCTCCTCCCTCCCCAAGATGGTGTGCAATCTTATATAGGATCTACATATACATTCATATTAAACATATTTTCACATTAGTCATGTTGTGAAAAATGAGACCCAATGGGAGGAAACACAAGAAAGAAGAAACAAAAAAGAGAGAGAGAGAGAGCAAATAGTATGCTTTCATCTGCATTCAGACTCCATAGTTCTTTTTCTGGATGTGGATAGCATTTTCCATCATGAGTCTTTTGGAGATATCTTAGATCCTGTCATTGCTGAGAAGGGCTAAGTCTATTAAAGTTAGTCATCATACAATGTTGCTGTTACTATGTACAGTGTTCTCCTGGTTCTGCTCACTTCACTCAGCATCAGTCCATACAAGTCTTTCCAGGTTTTTCTGAAGTCCACTTGCTCATCATTTCTAATGGAACAATAGTATTCCATTACATTCATATACCAGGGCTTGTTTAGTCAATCCCCAATTGATGGACATCCCCTCAATTTCCAATTCTTGGCCACCACAAAAAAAGAGCTACTATAAATATTTTTGCATATGTGGGTCCTTTTCCCGTTTTTATGATCTTTTTGGGATACAGACCTAGAAGTGGTATTGCTCGATCAAGAAGTATGCACAGTTTTACAGTCTTTCTGGCATAGTTCCAAATTGCTCTTCAGAATGGTTGGATCAGTTCACAACTCCACTAACAATGTATTAGTATTCCAATTTTCCCACATCTTCTCCAACATTTATTATTTTCTTGTTTTGTCATGTTAGCCAATCTTTTAGGTGTGATGTGGTACCCCAGAGTTGTTTTGATTTGCATTTCTCTAATCAATAGTGATTTAGAGCATTTTTTCATATGACTATGGATAGTTTTAATTTCTTCCTCTGAGAACTGTCTGTTCATATCCTTTGACCATTAGTCAAATTGGGGAATGACTCAGTTCTCTCTATATTTTAGAAATGAGGCCTTTATCAGAGACACTGGTTGTAAAAGAAAGGAATAGTCTTGAAGACTTTATGGTGATAGATGCCTAGATAACCAAGTAAAATTTTAATGTCAGGAAGATATGATCTCATAGGAATCACCAGTGGTTGGTGGGAACAGAACTCTTGAATAGAATATGTCAATGAAAGAATATGCTTTATTCAAAAGAAGCACTTAATAGAAAAGGATTAGTTAGTAGCACTGTATGCGAAGAAGGTAGAGAAATTCATAAGCCTGAGATAGAAACATGGTAGAAAGCATGTGTGTAAGGATAAAAGAGAGGGATAGACCAATAGTGTTGGGCCAGGTGTGAATCCTGGCTCTGTTATACCAGTGTACCTTGGGGCAAGGCAATCTCTGTGGGCCTCAGTTTCCTCATCTATAAAATGAGAAGGTTAGAGTAGGTTTCCTCTAAGGTAGCTTCCAGTTTTTAAATCTATGACCATGTATGATCCTAAGTAAGAACTGAGGTATACTATAGACCATCCATCTGCATGGAGGATATATACCAATAACTTTCTAATACAGATTACAAAATCAACAATCAACCATCAAAATCAAAAGATAAGCTTAGAGGCGGGAAACTTCAAATGTGCAAATACAGCATCCGATGAATTATTAACTTACTTTGCTGATAATTCAACTCTTAGAAGGTAAAGAAGCCCTAAAAGTTTCTATTCTGTTAATTCTAATAAAAAAGGAAATTGCTGGTTGGGAAAACAGTGAGAATCTTAGGAGAAAGTGAGTGTGTCATAATAGAATTCATACTGCCATAGGAAAGTGAATGTTAACAATAATCAGACATGTTTTTTTTAGACGTCAGGGAAGCATATGTCAGATAATTCAGAGGAACAATAGACATGATTACATTTATTGTTGTTGTTTAGTCGTGTCTGACTCTCTATGACCGCATTTGAGGTTTTCTTGGCAAAGATACTGAAGTGGTTTGTCATTTCCTTCTCTAGTTCATTTTACAGATGAAGAACTGAGGCAAACAGGGTTAAGTGACTTGCCCAGGGTCACATAGCTAGTAAGTGTCTGAGGACAGATTTGAACTCAAAAAGATGAGTCTTTCTGACTCTAGACCTGATGTGCTATCCACTCCATCACCTAGTTTCCCTTATGGTTACATAGCTGAGACTAAAAAGTTAATATGGCTCAAGGCATAGAAGGAGCTAAAAATGAAATTCTGACTGTATGATTACAAATTATTCATATATATTATAGAAGGGATACGGACAAGGAAGGGAAAAGGACTACTGTTTGGAGTAGATGGCATGTTTATTAAGGCAAAACTACTCAAATCCTCTTTCCCTTTTTTGTTCTATATCAAGAAAAAAATTTTTTAAATCAGAATAGAAAGGGAAGAAAAAAACATGTTGAAAAGATAACGGAAGCCATAGATTGTAAGAGAGTTCCTATCAGTAATTCAAGGTTCCAGACTCAAACTAATTATACAAAAGGGAACTGAAAGAACTTAGAGAAGAGACGTTGTGGTAAGAGAGGGACCACAATACTAGAGATGGCCATATTACTTGATTTTCTCCCAAAACGGTAAATTCTGACAACTTGTAGAGTGCTGAATTTGATGTTATTCTCAAACAATATTCTCAAATGAATTTCTAAACAAATGGTTTATGCAATAACCACTAGGTACCAGTATGGGTTCACTAAGAAGTCGTGCCAAAGTAATTTCTTGTGTTCTTGTGCTTAATTTCTTCTTCTTCTTTAAAAAAAAAATAAGATTAATAGGTCAGGGAAATGCTGCAGATACCGTATATCTTAATTTTGGTTAAGCATTTTCAGGTTATTGTGATCTTCTTGCAGACAAGGTAGACTAACATAGGCTGAATAATAGTAGATAAAGGTGAATTTGTAGATGGTTGGACAATGATATGCCAAAGAGCACTGAATGTAAGCTCCCTGAGGGCCAAAAATGTTTCATTTTTTATATTCCCACAGTGCCTGGTATACCTCAGACACTTAATAAATGCTTATTGACTTGAATTGCTTAATGGATCATTTTCCACAGGGAGGCTGGGTTCCTAAAGTAGTATATTAAAGAGCTCGGAGGTACCTGGCACTATCCCATTAAAAATGCTTCAACAGTGACATGTATGAAGATGTAACAAGCATGATTACCAAATATGAAGTTGCCATAAAACTGGGAAATGCAGATATTCTGTTGGTTGCCAGAAACAAAAATTTGAGATCTTGAATCAGGCTGGAACAATGACCTTACGTACCAGAGAGATGAAATGTAATAGCGGTGAATATAAAATCCTACCTTTGGTTTAAAAAATAAATTAAAAAAAATCAAATTTCCCAAGTATGAAGTGTGGAAACCTTCATTTAACAGCTATTTTGTGTGGGAAGATGCCAAAAGTTCTTAGTTGCTTAATGTTGTACTGTGGCTGCTAAATAAATGACCACTTCATTGTAATCGTGGGCCTTTCTGTCCACTGCACCAACCAGTGCCTATCTAAAGTGTTACATTCAGGTCTGGGCTTCACGTTTTAAGAAGAATGTTAACAAACTGGAAGATGTTCAGAGGAAGGGGGTCCAGATTGGTGAAAGAACTGGAAAACATTGGTGAAGAATCATAAAAGGAAATGGAATATTTAATCTGGAAAAGATAAAGAAAAGAAGACTTGAAGAAAATTCGATCACTGCCCTCAGGCATTTGGAGGGCCATCATGTGGAAGAGTATTAGTGTATTCTGTTTAGCTGAAGAGGGCAGAACAAGTATGGTGTGAGGAAGCCTGGGTTTGGAGTCAAGAGACCTGGTATATAACCTAGATCTTTGATTTACTTCCTATGTGACCTTGAACAAGGCAATTAATCTTTCTAGGCCTCACCTATTGAAAAAGGAGATTGGACTAAATGATCTCCAGCTCTAAAGCCAGGGGATCCCAAGAGAGAGGGAGACAGATTTGGGCGTGGTATAACTGAACACTTTCTAACAGTGAGCACTGTAATGAGTCATTAGGCCTGATGACTTTTTATAAGATGTGTGGAGCAAGTAAAGATGTATTGATTAGATTGTATTTGAAATGTAAAAGTGGAAGAACTCTTGAAGTAGAAACAATTAAATTTTTTTAACTAAAATTTATTATGAGCCTCATTTCAGTAAGAGAAGGAACATTTAGACTCAGTCCATCTCCACTTAGTTATGGGAGAAGTTTGCCAGAACTACAGAAGCTATACTCCTGAAAAGAACTAGACTTTTTTTAAAGGAAGATTTCTTCTCCTATCTTCAACCTTCATTCCCTTCCTGGCTTTGCTTCTGACTTTCTGGACTTCAGCACCTTGCTTCATCTACAGTCTCACCCTGGAATATCCATCATCTCCTGAGACTTTCTCATCCTGGAACATTCCTCTGCTCAGCTGGCCCCCTTCTCCCATTTGTGAGTTCCTCTTGGGACCTCCATTTTGTGGAAGGGCCCAGTCTGGCCAATCTTCATTCCTCTCCTGACTGTGCTTCTAACTTTCTGGACTTCAACAGCTTCATCCTCCCACCTTGGCACTTTCTAGTTCCCTTTTTTAAAAATGTATTAATTTATTTTTAGTTTTCAACATTCGCTTTTCTACAATTTTGAGTCCTAAATTCCCCTCCTCTACTCCCCCTCCCCAAGACAGCACGCAATCTGAGATAGGATATACATGTATGATCATATTAAACATATTTCCACATTAGTCATGTTGTGAAAGAAGAATCAGAACAAAAGGAGAAAACTATGAGAAAGAAAAAATAAAAAACGAAAAAAAAAAGAGAAAATGGTGTGCTTCGATCTGCATTCAGACTCCATGGTTCTTTCTCTGGATGTGGATAGCATTTTCCATCATGAATCTTTTGGAATTGTGTTAGATCATTGCATTGCTCAGAGCTAAGCCCACTGTGTACAATGTTCTGTTTCTGCTCACTTCACTTAGCATCAGTTCATGCAAGTCTTTCCAGGTTTTTCTGAAGTCCGCCTGGTCACCATTTCTTATGAAACAATAGCATTCCATTATATTCATATACCACAGTGTGTTCAGCCATTCCCCAATTGATGGGCATCCCCTCAATTTCTAATTCTTGGCCACCACAAAAAGAACTACTATAAATATTTTTGTGCATGTGGGTCCTTTTATCTTTTTTATGATCTCTTTTGGATACAGATCTAGTAGTGGTATTGCTGGGTCAAACTGTGCAGGGTGTGCACAGTTCTATAGCCCTTTGGGTATAGTTCCAAATTGCTCTCCAAAATGGTTGGATCAGTTCACAGCTCCACCAACAATGCATTAGTGTTCCAGTTTTCCCACATCTTCTCCAACATCTATCATTTTCCTGTTTTGCCATGTTAACCAATCTGATAGGTATGAGGTGGTACCTCAGAGTTGTTTTAATTTGCATTTTTCCAATCAGTAGTGATTTAAAGCATTTTTCATATGATTATAGATAATTTTAATTTCTTCCTCTGAAAACTGCCTGTTCATATCCTTTGACCATTAATCAACTGGGGAATGATATATGTTCTTATAGATTTTACCCAGTTTTCTATATATTTTAGAAATGAGGACTTTATCAGAGACACTGGCTGTAAAAATTGTTTCCCAGCTTTCTGCTTCCCTTCTAATCTTGCTTGCATTGGCTTTGTTTGTGCAAAACTTTTTAACATATATAATATAATCATATAATGATTATAATCAAAATTCTAGTTTCCTTTTGTAAATTTTTTTGTCCCATTAGATTGTAAGCTCCTTGAGAACAGGGCTTATCTTTTTGTTTGTATTTATATCCATGATGCCATGGAACATAGTAAGCACTTAATAAATGTTTGTTACTTGCTTGCCTTCATAATAATCCTGAGGGTCTGCAGTAAGTGTATAACTTTGGGACTATGAATGGGATTAGGGCATGGGGGTAATTGGGTTATGAAGTAGCACTTTAGTGGTTAAGCAGAGTTACAAAGGGATAATTGATGGCGAAATCTGAAGAGCTGACTGTTCTCCTTCCGAAGGATAGCTTTAACGGTTAACAGTGACACATTTCCCAATCCCATTTTGCAATATCAGCAAACACACATATCTAAGAATCCCATTCCTAGCAAACATCCTGAAAGATCTTTGGTCCATAATTTCTCTTGTCCATCTTGCGTAAAGTTAGGCTTTTATTCAAGTAGAAAAGTACTCTTTCTATGACAAACATTCTCAAGGTCTTTGCTGCTAAGAGAAGTAGCCACTGGAGCCATTTAATGAAGCCGGCTGGGCGGCCATTGTAGCTGTTCCTTAGATTAGGGCCTAACATGTCACTCTCTGGCTGAAATAGACAGCATCAGTCTGCTGTGTCTCACACCAACCAATGGATTCCAGTTCTGTAAGTCGTGACTCATTGAGTCACACATGCTAGGCTGGCTGCAGTTAAATGGGTCTATGCATTTACAGGTATGTTTCATTTGGAAAACAGGGCTGATTTCGTTGGCTAATTCTACCCCAATTAAAGTTGTGTGTTTTGCCTCCTTTCACAGCTGAAAACAAGTCACCTCCTCGTCCATGTGGCTTGAATCATTCTGATTCTCTCAATCGAAGTGACCGGATTGATGCGGTGACCCCAACACTAGGGAACAGCAACAACCAACTTAATTCGTCTTTCCTTCAAGTGTATGTCCCTGATTACTCAGTGAGAGCCCTCTCAGACATTCAGTTTGTGAAGGTAGGAGAACAGTGACCTGGCTTAAGAAACAAAAATTTAGCAGGAAACTTCTCTAATAATACTGACACTGATAGTACTGATAATACTGACAGGATGTGTTGGTTGCTTACCTTTCCCATGATACCAGAGTTAGCAAAGGAAACATTCATTTTGTCATTTAAGGAGTTGGTTCACTTCAGTTAATGTTTATTTAGCACCAGTCCAGAGCTGTGACTTGTGGGACAAAGACCGGACCAGGAGCCCTGGCTCTCTGACGTTATATATTGCAAGCATCAATGTGTGTCTGTTGAACCCAGAGAGCAGGAGACAATGAAGGCCAGCATGGCCTGTTTCATGTGTGTTCCTGTGGGGGTTTTTTTGGGTTTGATTTTTTTCCCCCTAGATAGCCTTTAAGGAGGCATGTTGTAGGGCTGGGTAGGAGGTAAAGGGCATGCTGGTTCTCTAGGGATGTGACCACATTGTCAAGAGTGGGTTAAAGAAAGCCCTACTTCTCTCCCTCTAAATCAAGGATGGGACAGGAATTTCCTGTGTCTTCTATCAAATGTATGAAATGATTTTATCTGGAGAAAAGTCAGCCTTCTCTGATATAATTGGGCTCTTCTCCCTTTTCTTCAAAATCCTACAACCCATTTTTTAAAAGGATGTATTACTTTGAGCCTCCCTTGGAAAAATGGCCCAAAATTACTCTACCAGGATGTCCTTTTTTTTCCCCAAGAGAAGCTATATAGAAGGGAGAATAGACTTGATTTTACCTAAAAGACTGCTGTGCTTTGATACAAAATCAAGGAGAATTTTCATCTAGGAGTCCCAATTTGTCCCATATCAAGTATCAGTCTTCTTCTGCGTGTTCTGCTTACATTTTCCCAATACAACTCTAAATGTTTACCCGACATAATCTTCACTATAGCCTGTATTTGTCTGAAGAGAGTGACTTAAAATGCCTAGGAACTTGTCCTTGTAATTATGAGACCTTGATGATGATTTTTTTTTGGAGGCAATCAAGATTAAGTGACTTGCCCAGAGTCACACAGCTAGTAAGTGTCTGAAGCCGGATTTGAGCTCATGTCCAATGAGCCGATGCTCTATCTCCTGCACTGCCTAGCTGCCCCATTACGATTTTTATGCTGAAGCTTTGAGGCATCTGCCCATCTTGATATTTTCACTAAAGAGGAGCTGTCCACTTTTCCCTCTAGGGAGTCATTGAGGAAATGGGCTTAGGGGCAAAACAAAGTGAGGAGAGTCCTCTCCTAGGGTGGGCCATATGTGATACATTCTATAGAAAAGAGAACTAAAAGGATGAGTTATCTCATCCTGCTTCTCCACCCGCCGCACCCCCCCTCCCCCCCGCCCCGATTTGTGTTTCTACTCCACCTTTTCTTTCTATCCTAGATCACAAGACAGCAGTACCAAAATGCCTTGATGGCATCCCGGATGGACAAAACTCCTCAGTCTTCAGACAGCGAAAACACTAAAATTGAACTGACTCTTACAGAGCTGCATGATGGGTTGCCAGATGAGACGGCTAACCTGCTCAATGAACAGAATTGTGTAACTCACAGTAAAGCCAATCACAGTCTGCATAGTGAAGGCGCCATCTAGGACCTCTTCCTGAGCCCTCTCACCCTCGATTGTCATGGTCTGAAGCAGTGTCTTGCCATGTCGCTGCTCTCCTCGGTCTCCTTCGCAGGACCCCCTCTGGCCCTCTCCCCTGCCTTCTCCCCATCTGACTGCAACTACCATTAGTATGTGCTCATACGCCATGCTGCCTCCTGCACCATTCTGAGACCAAAGACTTTGTGCCCTTCCTGGGAACAGCAGAGGAAGCAATGCAAGGGATGGCATTGGAGGCAAAGGTACCGAGCCACCTGCCCAGAAACAGTGAGCCGGATTCCAGACACGTGCTTCCTCCTGCTCCAATAGAATCACGTTTATTTTTCCGGCCAGACTTTTTATCCTGGTTCATTTGCTTCCTTCTTAGATAAGCATGAAGAAGTTTAAAATTGTTGCAATTTATTTTTTCAAGAGATCATGTTTTTAAAAGTCTTTTGCAGAGTTTTCAGTTGTTTTTGTTCTGTCTGAACTCTGCTGTGATTCCATAAACTGATCCTGATATGGTGGGGTTTGCCCCTCCACCCCTGTGATCTCTCATTTTTTTCCCAGCAGCCTCCTGGATAGGCAGCACCATCATTCCCATGTGAGTCCCTCTCTACCCTGAAGGATGCAGTGAAGAAAACGGGGGTCGATTTAACTACCACCGGACCGACCAAGTTTGCTATTGAACGGGAGTGGTTTGGAGAGCAGTCTGCTGGCCACAGGGGGATTGGATGGTCAGCTGGGCCTCTTTCCCTCAGGAAGTCTTAGAATTTGATTTGGAAATATGGGTTTGCTCCCGCACTAGGGAATTTTAACAACAAAATGTGTTTTATTGAATTTTAAACTCGTTGGATAATAGAACAATGGGCCTGGGGAATATTCAGCCTATCAGACTGGTATTCAGCCTAGGCAGGGATCTCAGGTTCAGGTCAGCCTTCCTCCCAACCCTGGGGCATCCCTTCTCTGCCAGAGGAGGGGGAGAGGACAAGGAGACCACCCACCCATTCCTCAGCTTTAAAGAGCTCTAATTCCCTTTCCCCAAACCTCGTTATTCATCCAAGATGCTGCTATACTGATGCCAAAAGGAAATCTTCTCTGGGGCTTCTCAATAGAAATATGACACGGACTCCAAGTCTCCTCTGCACACTGAAGTCTGTCTGATTGTCTGAGAAGGCATCTCCACTTCGGGTTGTGTTCTTTAAGATGCAGTATTCGAGTCTAGGTTTCTAAGGGGGTGGGGACTCACTGGGGACTTTTCAGGGAAGCAGCTCTTCAGTTTTCCCTCCTTTCCCTCTTCGTGTTCTTTTAGATGTTGTTTGGAGAGCCACCAGCACTCCGGGCAGCTTGGGGCCATCTGTGATGGACGGTCTGCAGAGCTATGGGACAGGACAACCTGGGCCCCACATGGGTTTCCAGAAACCAAATGTGTATTATGGCCAGTATATGTATGTTGCTTCTAATTTAATACCAAATGTCGTCATCTGTTGTCAAATTAAGGCCAATGGGCATTGCTTGACTGGTCAGACTTTCTAGTTGTCCACCTTTGGAGTACTAGCTTAAAGAAAATGTGCCTTTTGATGGCAATATCCATATATTGAAATGAACCAGTGTTGACCATGGCTTTCATATTGACTTTCAGTACATATTGCATCCAGACACTAGCAAACTATGTAGCAGTTCCTTCTTTCCTTGTTCATTTGATCAGAATGAGCTCCAAGTCTGATTGTCCTCAATTTGAAGTGATAGGGCTGAATAGCTGCCTTCCCCCTCCTCTAAGGATATTTCTATTCATTTGGGTTCTAAATGGCCCCTAGCTGGTATATTGGATTCATCTTTTATGTAGGGGGAAGAGGAGGGGTGGCTTTCTGAGAAGATGGATCATTTCAGCCACAAAATGTGACAGGAAATTGAATGTTTCACTGCCTGACTAGGTGAGCAGTTGAGCTTGACCCAGTGGAAGGACTTGGTGTTCTCCCAAAGTGGGTTGTTAGCCCAGGATTCCCCTCACTGTCTTGGCTGATAGCCCTCAGAGACATACTCAACCTTCACACATAGTTGGCAAAAGGAAGAATGTGATGCCTCCACCTGTTTCAGGTGAAAAAGGGTCCGAGGACATCCCTCAGCAGAGGGCAGATCTGCTCACAACAAATTCCATCCTAGACAAAAGATTTCATTTCCTGTTGGGCTCTTAGGGGATTGATGAACAGAACAGTTTGTTACTGAAAAGAGAAGGAATTGGGATAGGCACCTGGGAATGTCCTTTCATGAGACTGACCTGAGCTTCAAGATAGAATGCTTAGAGGCAGGCTGCTCTGTTGGTCCTGGAGGATTTCCGATCTTCTGACTCTGCCCAACATCCTGGAACTTTAGCTTCACCAGCTCTCAAAGCTCTTTCCCCCACCTCACCCTAGTCTATTTCTATCCTTCTAAATATAGCCCTGCCCAAAACTTTTGGGCACAATTTCCTAGAGGAAAGCTTAACATATTAATGGCCAAAAGAGAGTCCTTTTCCCTACAGTCTAGTGGTCTTGCTGTTACCTCGGATCAGTTCAGTCTGTTGGTTGGGTTGGTGTTCTTGTGTGAAGGAACTCATGACCAGGAAGTAAAGTCTTCAGTACAAATTTCTGTCCCAGGTATTTGTGGATATCATTCTAACTCATTTTCTGGAAATGAAAGCCAATACTCAGTCATGAATATTAATACAAAAGATCAGGTAATCAAATGTAATTTCTTTTTGGCTTTTGAAAGTATTTTTATACTAAAATTTGAATATACAAGTACCTCTGATATACTAGGGATTTTGAACGCTTGTAAACAATACTAAGAGGTCTGATTCTTCAGTATCCCCATTCTGGCTTCATTTCCACTTTGGGAATTGACACAATCATCCCTCAGACTGATGCAGAGGAGGCACCTTAAACTGAGTTGAGCGTTCGTGCCTCCCTAGGACTGTTTTATTTTGGCTTAAGACTTTCTCCTCCAGTTTCTGTTGGGTGTTAGTTGACATGGATCCATGATCTATTTCAACAAAATAATTACACAAAGAAAGGGAGGACAGTGTTAGTAAATAGTGTCAAGAACATCTGGGAATAATACTCCTGAATTATTCTGTTGGGCTATCGTCTGCTAAGAAGAATGAAAAAACAGATAGATTGGCTTCATGAGCTATTAAGGGGTGCCTCAGGATCCTAAGACTGGAGTGGACTGGCTCATTACTACCCCAGTCCAGGCTATGTACAGTAGAAACCCTTGAAATAAGGAGGCCTGAGGGAGGGGATAGGTTGGGAGCCAGAGCAAGGCAAGGTGGTAGGACTGAGTCTTGAAGGGTCATGATTTTCTGACTTAGAAACAACATAAATGAACCACTGTGATGATGTGAAAGCCCTACCTGGAATAGGATCCCAAATGCTCAGCAAATCTCAGGGTTTACTCCTTTTCCTCTGCACTTAGCTCCTGCTCTTAGTCTTAGAAAGTTGAATTGCTAGTCAAATTGAGTTTTAGTTTTTCCTAAGTTTGTACCCATAGGAAAGGATCCAGTATGTGGCTGTTCTCTGCTTATCTAACTTTGGTACCCAGGTTGTTTGAGTGACCCAGGAAAATGGTGCACTCCAACATGCACAAGTCTTTTGCACCTAATGGCCCAGCACTGTCGTTCTGAAAAGATAATTGTGAAGATGTGAGATTTTCTCTTTGATCAAGCAGACAAAGCACTTGGCAAACATTTCTCAAGATGCGAATTTGAATCCAATTGAGACCCAGAAAGTCCCCTTCAAATTCCACCACGTAAGTCCTTATTTACACAAGGTCCCGGCTCAGAGCTCCCCAAGCCGTATAGTAACATTTTTTAGACAAGTAGCTGTGGTTAGGGCCAGGAAGGCAAGCACTGCTGGAACTGGCAGTAGGGCCCCCAAATCTCATTTGTCATTTCATCCATGAATGTGTTCACCAAAAGGACAATTCCAGCTAGATTTGCTCCCTGGGGCTGGCAGTAAAGATGCCCAAAAAGTCTGGAATGGAAAGAGCTTCACTCTGTCCCCAGTGAGGAGAGGTTGATAGAAGCTCGTTTAGAGCATTGCCCTGGATTGGTGTTATCTCCTCAATGAATTTTTGATTGGAATAATAATCCCTTTCTCTGCTCCACTCCTAGTACCAGAGAGGGATTATTCTTAGATGAAAATAAGTTTAAGGAATTAGGAAAAGAAAATAAAGGTTTGGTAGCATATTGTGTGTGTGTGTGTGTGTGTGTGTGTGTGTGGAGTGTGGGAGGGGGCAGCTAGGTGGCGCAGTGGATAGAGCACCGGCCCTGAGGTCAGGAGGACCTGAGTTCAAATCCAGCCTCATACCAAACACTTGACACTTATATAGCTGTGTGACCCTGGGCAAGTCACTTAACCCCAATTGCCTAAAGAGAGAGAGAGAAATCAATGAATGTCTGTTTAGGCAGAGGGGGACCCTAGACTCTCAAGGCTAGTGTGGTAGGACTTCCAAGTCTTCTGATTCATTACTGAGAAAATCCTCCTGCCTTGAACTTTTCACTAAACCATTAAGCTCTGCGTAAACAAGTTTCCCTCCATTAGGTTTTCCCCACTCACTTTAACTCTCTCTCCAGAGTCTTGGGTTTGGGTTAAGTTGCTACAGATTCTTGGCATACTATAAGATCATAACATGGATAGGAAGGAGATTCACAGAATCAGATTTTCTTTTTACTTGATTAGTCATTGGATCCTACTTGGATGGATTTCTCATACCTCAGATTTATAACTCCTGATTTTAATCACGATTTCCATTCTCTTCAGCAAACTGGAAGCTAAATTTAGAGAAATCGAAATTAAAGTTTATTCTGCACCCCTCCTTTTGAGGAGTAAAAGTTATCCACCTGCCAAGCCTACATTAGCAAGGAACTTCCCATAATTCAATGCAGGGGTTACCTCTACCCTACTTTCCTTCTTAGGAGAGGCTTCCCATTCCTGTAAACAGCCTTTTCCCAAGGCTCTGAATGGAAGAACCCATTAGGTGTGCAGCTCTGGTGCTTTCTAGATTTCTCTCTGGAAGAAGGGATAGAGTGGGGAGGAGTAAATGTTGGATCCCCTTCAGCCACTTTTCACCCTCTATGTGCATCTGCCTCAAGGTTCACTTCCCAGACAACTGCTGTCAACCATCTTTCCAGACTGCCAGTGCTAGTCCATTAGCTGAGAGGAGGCAGTTGGACTTCTGAAGTTCTGAAGTCCCAGAAAAGGAGGCATTACCTCCTGGTAGCTTTTCCAAGAAAAGAAACTTGACTGCAGCACATAGACTATCTCCTCCCTTCTCTCTCATCTAGGGAATTCACTTGCTACTCTGGTTTGTGGGATGTTAGCTCGGCTGTGCTCTCCATCATATGCTGGAGCTGCCTACACTATCAGAATTCTGTTTTAATTATCAGATGGAAACAGTCTATAATCTGAGATAGCTGATGTTTTGGGATGTATCTGTGTTCATGCAGACATCTGTACCATCTCACAAGATCTGACTAATGGTGCAATGCATTGTAGTCAGAGCTGCACAGTTGGTAGGATATATAGGGAGTGCTGATAGGTACCCTTCTGGAACCAGACCTGAATGGAGTGATTTGGGATTTCTAGAGACCCAGTTCTTACCTATCCTCCCAAGAATTTGCCTGAGCAAAACTAGTGAATAATGCCAGGAAGGGAAAGGGAGTGGGGAGAATCATGGGGCACCTGAGCACTGTGACTTCTCCAGATGGAACTGGATAACATCAATGGAGTCCTTTGGAAGGTCACTAGGAAGCAGGGAGTTTGCTCTCACCACTACTTTGCCTTTAAACTGTTGGTATCTAAGATGTCCCCAAAGACGGGAGGTGAGAATAGTGAATGAGGTCCTTGTCCTTTTATTCCCATGGATAGCCTTACATACTGCCTGGCTTCAGCTTCATCTTCAAATGTTGTCATTGCTTCGTGTTGCCAAGGTCAGTTGTGAAAGGGTTTCAAACCCTTTCTAAAGTTTAAACTTTAGACCCTTGGAGGGTGGGGGTGGAGTAATGACTTCTCTTATTCTGGAATCCTTTAAATCCTCAACTGTACATGCTTTATTTTATTTTATATAATTATTATAATTATTATTATTTATTATCATGTAAATACATCCTTCCTATTTTCTTACACACTCGAAGGTGAGAAATCCTATCTGATTTGTAGCCCTTACATCTTGAGTCTAGGATTTTGCTATCTCATTAGACAGGAAGGGAAGTCAGACCCTAATTTTGTACCCATCAACTTGACCCCAGGATCTTCTTACACCCTTTCTTCTAGGAGTAGAGGTTGAGGATGGAGACTATGCCTTGACCTTGCAGGCTACGCTTGCCTCATTAGGAGACGTCGGTAGTGATTGGTAGCAACCTTTTGGCAAAGTGGGGAATTGTCTCCCGTTGGCTACTAATGAGGCAATTCCTAGGAGTCTTCCCCTGGCTGCAGAGATGGTTCAGGGTCTGTGCTTTCCCTCTTCCCCTTCAGGGAGTTGCTTTTAGGTTTATGTTTCTCAGAGAGACCTCAAACTTAAGAGAATCTCAACATGTCATTAGGGCTGCTTTCAGAGTCTAGGGGTGGGGTGAATTGAGGCTCAGTGGAAAAAGCTCTGACGTTACAATCAAGGTGACTTAGCTTGGAATATGTTAGGAGTTGAAAGGCTGGTGGGGGAATGACCTAGTGGTGTATGGTGGGGTGGAGGTGGAAGATAAATTATGATGCTTTATTCAATGGATAACCAACAAGCCTAGGCCCTAGGGATATTGGCAGTTGTAAAAATGGCACATCAGGCAATCTCTGCCTCACCCGTCTTGGCTGTGCTGGACAAGCTTACCTTTAATTTTCTCTGCCTAGTGCCAAGCCCCCAAACCAACATTGCCTCCATTTTCTGATCTCAGATTGTAGAATCTGTCTGGACCATGGAAGCTGCCTTGCCCTATCTGGGATCTTAAAATGCCTTTTTTCTTTGATTTTGAGGCCCCCATTTTCCCACACAATGACCATTCCCTTGCCAGCTCAGGGTGGCCAGTGCAGGCTGCCTTGGCCTTTAGAGAGGACCCTTCTTAGGGTCTGATTTTCATACTCTGGTCTTTGTTTATTGTATCATAGTGTATATTATGTGCTTTGCTGAGATGGAGGCTTCTGAATCCAGTATTTGGGACTGTATCCATAAACCTGACTAAGCACAATGACAGTGTCGGATGATGTGTATACATGTCATAAGCTGATTGTCATAATGAATGCATTTTATAATTCAAATGATGTTGTAGATTTACAATCTCTCCTATTTATTTTGTACTGATTTATTTGTATATTTTGTGATTTGTTTAAAAAGGGTTTTATTCTTTTTAGATAAAATGGTGATTTTCTGTTCAATTTTCTGGTGGCTATGTATTGTTGCCTGTTCCACAGGATGCTAAAACCATGTCTTTTTCATCCCAACTCCTCTCCATGTTCTGCTCAGCTTTCCTGACAGCCAGTCAGCTGGGCAGTTTCCTGGCTTGAGTAGTGCTACTCACCTGCCTCTAACTTCAAGTCTGGTGAATGTGATTCCAGTCTAGTGCTTCCCTTCTCCTAGTAACGTTACAGAATCCATCCTGCTCTCTTGCTCCAGCACCCACCCCCACCCCCAGCACGCTGATCTGGATGTGTGGCTCTGCTTGAGCTTTTCAGAGTTCTACACAACCCCTAGCTCTGCTGAGCCACTTTGTATCCCGAGCAGAGCACTGGACTGCCCAAGAGCCCAAGATTGTTTTCAGGAGCTGAACTTAGACCTGATTCAAACGGCCCCCTCCCTCAGAACCATCTGTGCAGAGGAAGGAAGAAGGCTGTACCCTGAGGCTCACTTACTGAATTAGAACCAGGGCAGGGCAGCAGCATGTGATGGGGGGCACTCAGACACTTTGGGAAATCAGAATAGAAAGCAATTCCCCAGGTCATCAGCCCTTGTGGTCTTCATAATCCTGTCACATGCTGTCTGACCTCATCTTGTTTCATCTCTCCTTTTATGTTTCTTAAACTGCCTCCTTACACTCTTACTGCTCTCATAACTTAAGCCTGAAGGTTTTCCTGTTTGTGTCTTCAAGAGCCCCCATGAACCTGACTATGGAGCTCACCTTCCTGGCATCCTCTGCTCTGGCTCTTTTCATCTGTCTGGGGTTTCGAATGACATTCTCCCTATGAATCCAATTTCTTGTTGCTCAGTCCTTTCCTTTTCCTACTGTCATGTATTGATGTACATTTCTGCTCTTTGCAGTCTGCTACATTTGATTTCCATTTGTCCTGTGGTTGGAGACCTCTTCTTAAGGAAGAGCTAGTGGCCTTGCCTCAGTTTGATTGAGCCCCATACCCCAGCCTTGTCCCCAATCACTTCTGGAAGCAGATTTGTGCACCAATGAAATCTTCTTTTCTGAAGGTTAATTGTTGTCCCCCTTCTCCCTTTTCACGGTGAACCTGCCTCATCTGGCCGGTGCTTTCCCAGTCATTTATTTTGTCTGGTTCCAAGATCGACTCAGGAAATGTGTCAAGGGAAGTAGAGGAAGTGGTTTTTTAACTTGTGAGGACAACTACTTTGATGCCTGTGATGTCTCTTTGCATCCAGGGGTGCACCGTGGTTGTCAGTTCCTTTTTAAGCTTTATCATGTGCTTTTGAGGAGGGGGAGAGACGAGGTTGGTTCAGTAGACCAGATGCCCTCCCAGCACATCTTTTCATCTCAGCATGTCTAATGATGGAACCCAAATCAATCAAAAGATTCTTTGGTGAAAGTGATCAGAGCAAAAAGATTGACTACAGTTGGTTTCTGGAAATTGTCCTTTTATACTTTTTGAAAGGTATTGACTTTAATAAAGAGATGATTCCTAATTAAAAAGCCGAAAACAGTTGAATTATGTTGAATGGCTAATAAATACTTTTGCTTTCTTTGTATCCTGGTTTCATCATTTTCCTCCAACAGGACTTCCACAAACATTGATTTCTACTCGTTTTCACTTTCCAATTCACCTTGGAGGCTAAGTGGTCTCAGTAAATGGGCAGGATTCCTCATGTTTGCAGGTCAGAGAATAGAGCTTTCCAGGAAAGCCTAGGAAATGTAAAAGCCAAGGCTGCATGGCAAAATTCTGATAGCTGATTGTGTCAAAACATGACTGGGGTAGACAGATCTCAGATCCCAGCAATCTAAGTTTTGAGGAAATGCTAGGGAGGATGTTCTGTAAGCAGTGGCCTTATCTAA